GAAATATATAGGAGAAATCTTTAAAAATCTTCTTCTCAAGAACCACTGGGCCAGAAAAGCTGAAACTTATGTGGAAGCATCCTGGGATAGTGTAGATTCTAAATTGTTAAAATCATTACCCCCGGGGGTAGAGCGGGGCCACAATAGGGAATCCAAGTTTTACATTGAAATATATAGGAGAAATCTTTAAAAATCTTCTTCTCAAGAACCACTGAGCCAGAAAAGCTGAAACTTATGTGGAAGCATCCTGGGGTAATGTAGATTCTAAATTGTAAAAATCATGACCCCCGTGGGTAGGGCGGGGCCACAATAGGAAATCCAAGTTTTACATTGAAATATATAGGAGAAATCTTTAAAAATCTTCTTCTCAAGAACCACTGGGCCAGAAAAGCTGAAACTTATGTGGAAGCATCCTGAGGTAGTGTAAATTCTAATTTTTTCAAATCATGACCCCCGGGGGTAGGGCGGGGCCATAATAGGGAATACAAGTTTTACATTGAAATATATAGGAAAAATCTTTAAAAATCTTCTTTTCAAGAACCACTGAGCCAGAAAAGCTGAAACTTACGTGGAAACATCCTCAAGTAGTGTACACTAAATTGTTCAAATCATGACCCCGGGGATGGGGGGGGGGGGGGCACAATAGGGAATCCCAAGTTTTACATTGAAATATATAGGAAAAATCTTTAAAAATCTTCTCAAGAACCACTGGACCAGAAAAACTGAAACTTATGTGGAAGCATCCTGGGGTAGTGTAGATTCTAAATTGTTCAAATCATGGCCCCTGGGGGTAGGGCGGGGCCACAATAGGTATTACAAGGGGGGAAGTCTGGTAATAAACAGCATGGCCAAAGTTACTCAGGTGAGCGATGTGGCCCATGGGCCTCTTGTTTTAATATTTCCAATGACCTTTACCAACGCGGGTATGTTAAGGCTACACCCATGGATATCCTACTTGCCTTTACAATATGACGTCACAGTAAGCTGTATGACGTGAACTCTAGAAATAATGATTTCTTTATATCTAAAGTTTAATTTAAGGTCCAAGAAATGAATGGAATCATTCAAAACATAATATAAACTAAATCTTGTCGTTTTTTGGGTGGTATGAATAGCTAATTAGCCCCTCCACGGTAACTGCGCTACTACTCTTTTGCAGGGCAAATTAATAACGTTTGGCGAAGTTTTTTTTTTTGAGAGAGAGATAATTTAATGACGTATATTAAACAATTACTTTTACATCATATTCCACCAAACTATATCATTTTGCCCTGCAAAAGAGCAGTGCCGCAGTTACCGTGAAACGGTCTATTATTTAGCTCGGGGGTTAAATACCAAACCCATGACGTCATAACTATTGATCAAATATTTGCCGAGAGAAATAAAACGTACGAGAATTCATGTGAACAAAATGGGAGTTTTAAAGCATATACCGTGAATGTTATGTGTGATTCATAAGGAATTAAAGATGAAGAATCAGGTACGCTGATATATTCTTATCATGTTTTTTTATAATGAAAACAGGCAGTGCTTTGAGATCCCGATCACCCTTTCCTCTGTCGCTCTATGTCAACAAAGATGCAAAAGTTCAACACTACGCCGCATACTTTGAAACATAATTTTTGTTTGTATCGAAAGCTTGTATTCTATAGTATTTGGAATGTGCCGCTAGAATCGTGTGGTTAACATGAATTGATAACAATTCCTTGATCTTATGTATAAAATGTAAAAAATTCGGTAAGGTTTCATGCGAAACTTTTGAATATTTTTTTCTGTGTTGGGAGAGTAGGATTCTAGCAGCACTTTTCATAGCCCAGTGATGTTTTTACATAATTATTTTCACTAAAAGAAATGAATTATCTCTAGGGTAGTGTTGAACTTTTCACTTTTTCATTAAGGCAATTTTTCTATTTATAGACGTCACGTGATGACGTCGTAGTGGAGTGCTTCTTTTAGCCTAAGACTCAATGAGGTCTATACAATGGATAATAATAGTAAATGTTTTATCTATGGCTTTTCCGATTTATCAATGTTATATTTTACGAGGAAGTCTAAATTCGCCGAAATATGATCTGGGTACTGCCTTAACATACCTGCGAAAAAATTATTTTGTTATTTTAATCATACTTTAAAAGTGTAACATGTCTGGGATTTATTGTTCCATTAGAAAGGATGTTATATGAATTGCACAGCGTTTTGTATTGTATTGTGCATAAATATTATCGCTAATTACAGAAGTCAGCACGAAAAGCCGTCTATCTTAGATGTACTTCAGTATTATTGACAATAAGATTAATGTGATATATTTACATCCCACATGTATTTTGCTTATAAATTAAAGTGTGAGGGAATGCTACGGCATTCAAAACACCATAACACGGACAGGGCGGTTTAAGGAGGTTCGATCCTGAGCTTTTGAGCAGATTTTGGTCTGGACCTTTATTTATAAAATTCTGCATCATTTTTAAGTTCAAACATTAAATCTAGATTCATTCAAATAGGATTAAGCCAGAAACTATATTTTGTGTCGGAAGGTTTTTTTAGGAGAAAATGATCAATATTTCCCTTTTGAAATATATACAGTACTGTTAAGTTTAGATTCCTATTTTTCCATGCTGGTTGCACACAGAGCTGTTTTTTGCAGTGAAATGTTTTGTGCTGGTTCTGAAATATCTGTTAAATTATTTCTTATGAATTCTTTCATTATATTGTGACAAATATAGCTAATATATTCTGAAAGTCCAGGAAAAAAACTTAGCCAATTTTAACATAAAATTAATACTTTTTTAGTAATACCTGTAAATTTACATCATAGACTCCCACTTTTGTTTTTCTTTTCTGAATATATAAGATAACTTTAATCAATCTGCCTAAATTCAGCAAAAGTTTAAGACTTTAAAATAAAATAATTTTCTTGCTTGTTAAATTTTTAATGCCAGAGAAATCACACTTTTTGAGTGAAGAAAGGTCAAATAATTGATTATGAGAAGCAATTTGAAATTTTTTCTTAGTCACAATTTTAAAGTGTCTTTTTTTAAGTAGACTAATAGTTTATTTTGTCCCATGATTTATTTGGATAAAAACATTAAAAGGAAAACGTCGAAGATGTGATTTTTGATTAAGACACACATTTCAGTGCAAAAAGGTCATATTAAATGTACTGTGGCGCCAAAAGAAGTATATTGACCCCCATTTTTTATTTTGATTTTTAATTAAGCTATGTGTGAAGAAACTAAAAATATACTTGACAAAAAAAGTTTAAGACTTTAAATATCAGGATCCAACCTCGTTAAAGCTTAAAGTATGCGATTTATTTTGACGTCACAAACGTTGAAAGCCCGTGAAAGTGTTACTTCATAAGTGAAAATCAAAATTCACGCTAACATTGAACAGAACTGTTGCAATGTCTCTTCCATTAATTGTAATTTACCCTAAGGATAATACAGGGATTTTGAAACTGAAATCAAATTTGCAGTCAAGCCAAGGGATTAAAAATGTAAATGTAAACGCTAACGCGCGTTACTCAATTTGTTTGCACACACCGTTGCAGTTATGAGACTAAATCTTACATAAAATAATGATTCAATGCTTAAATCAATCAATCAATGATCTCTGTGATGTAGTTTCTGTAATTCTACAAAAAATAATGATTCAATACTTAAATCAATCAATCAATTATCTCTGTGATGTATTTTCTGAAATTCTACATAAAATAATGGTTCAATACTTAAATCAATCAATCAATGATCTCTGTGATGTATTTTCTGAAATTCTACATAAAATAATGATTCAATGCTTAAATCAATCAATCAATGATCTCTGTGATGTATTTTCTCTACAGGTGACAACATGAGAAGTCGTGATCAGTATTATAGATTAATTCTATAGGTGACAGTATGAGAAGCCGTGATTTGTCTTAGATGTACCTCAGTATTATTGATTAATTCTACAGGTTACAGAATGAAAGCCGTGATTTGTCTTAGATGTACCTCAGTATTATTGATTAATTCTACAGGTGACAGTATGAGATCCGTGATTTGTCTTAGATGTACCTCAGTATTATTGATTAATTCTATAGGTGACAGTATGAGATCCGTGATTTGTCTTAGATGTACCTCAGTATTATTGATTAATTCTACAGGTGACAGTATGAGAAGCCGTGATTTGTCTTAGATGTACCTCAGTATTATTGATTAATTCTATAGGTGACAGTATAAGAAGCCGTGATTTGTCTTAGATGTACCTCAGTATTATTGATTAATTCTACAGGTTACAGTATAAGAAGCCGTGATTTGTCTTAGATGTACCTCAGTATTATTGATTAATTCTACAGGTTACAGTATGAGAAGCCGTGATTTGTCTTAGATGTACCTCAGTATTATTGATTAATTCTACAGGTGACAGTATGAGAAGCCGTGATTTGTCTTAGATGTACCTCAGTATTATTGATTAATTCTACAGGTTACAGTATAAGAAGCCGTGATTTGTCTTAGATGTACCTCAGTATTATTGATTAATTCTACAGGTGACAGTATGAGAAGCCGTGATTTGTCTTAGATGTACCTCAGTATTATTGATTAATTCTACAGGTGACAGTATGAGAAGCCGTGATTTGTCTTAGATGTACCTCAGTATTATTGATTAATTCTATAGGTTACAGTATGAGAAGCCGTGATTTGTCTTAGATGTACCTCAGTATTATTGATTAATTCTACAGGTGACAGTATGAGAAGCCGTGATTTGTCTTAGATGTACCTCAGTATTATTGATTAATTCTACAGGTGACAGTATGTTAGATACTGGTAGACCTAACAAAGATCTGTCAGGGATGTACTTTACAACCCAAGACAGGGATAATGACAGAAATACAAGTAACTGTGCTAAAACTCAGGGAGGAGGCTGGTGGTTTAACACATGTCACCGCGTCTTTCTCAACGGTCCCTGGTACCCGGTATACTGGCACAGACCTTGGCATCCTACATTAAGGAATGGGACGTCTGTGAGGGGGACGATGATGTTGATCAAACGTCACTAGGTAAACAACACTAAATCTTAATAACCAATATTTACTTTTTGGTAATTCCTTGAACATTTTAAACGGTTAATAGAAAATTGTGAAGAGTTATAAAAAGTTCCATTTTATTTCTCTGAAACATTATTTCATTCTTTTAATTCTTTTTATGCCCCTGGATCGAAAGATTCCGGGGGTATATTGTTTTTGTACTGTCTGTCTGTTTGTCTGTTTATCTGTTTGTCTGTCTGTTTGTTGTCAACTTTAACCTTGCCCATAACTTTTGATTGGTTGGAGCTATGACTTTCATATTTCACATGTGTATTCCTTGTGACAGGAACTTTCTTTGGGTATCATTATATTTGACCTTTTGACCTTGACCTTGGAGTTTGGCCCACTTTTGCAAAATTTTATGGGACTTTAACCTTGGCTATAACTTCTGAACAGTTGGTGCTTGGGGTCTCAAACTTCACATGTGTATTCTTTGTGACAAGACCTTCCTTAGGATACCATCAACTTTGACCTTTTGATCTTGACCTTGGAGTTTGACTTACTTTTGAAAAACTTTAACCTTGGCTATAACTTTTGAACATTTAGCGCTTGGGGTTTCAAACATCACATATGTATTTCTTGTGACTAGTCCTCCCTCCGGATACCAACCACTTTGACCCTTTGACCTTGACCTAGGAGTTTGATCTTCTTTTGAAAAACTTTAACCTTGGCCATAACTTTTGAACAGTTGGAGCTAGAGCTTTCATTCTTCACATATGTAATCCTTGTGACAAGGCCTTCCTTTGGATACCAACCACTTTGACCTTTTGACCTTCACTTAGGAGTTTGACCTACTTTTGAAAAACTTTATCCTTGGCCAAAGCTTAATGATTGATGGTAGGGATTTCATACTTCACATATGTAATCCTTGTGACATCACCTTCCCTTGATACAAACCACTTTGACCTTGACCTAGGAGTTTGACCTACTTTTGAAAAACTTTAACCTTGGCCATAAATTTTGAATGGTTGGTGCTAGGGCTTTCATACTTCACATATGTAATCTTTGTGACAAGACCTTCCTTTGGATACCAACCAGTTTGACCCTTTGACCTTGACATAGGAGTTTGACCTACTTCCAAAAAATTTTAACCTTGGCCATTTTTTTTTTAATGGTTGGTGCTGGGCTTTCATATTTCACATATGTAATCCTCGTGACAAGACCTTCCTTTGGATACCATTAACTTTGACCTTGACTTTAACGTTTTACTTACTTTTAAAAAACTTTAACCTTGTCCATAACTTTTGAACAAATGCAGCTAGGGCTTTCAAATTTCACAGGTATATACCTCGAGACAAGACCTTTCTTTGGGTACCAACATTTTTTTTTATAACCTTGTCCATAACTTTTGAACAAATGCAGCTAGGGCTTTCAAATTTCACAGGTATATACCTCGAGACAAGACCTTTCTTTGGGTACCAACATTTTTTTTTTATAACCTTGTCCATAACTTTTGAACAAATGCAGCTAGGGCTTTCAAATTTCACAGGTATATACCTCGAGACAAGACCTTTCTTTGGGTACCAACATTTTTTTTTATCTTTTTGCCTGGATTTTGACTTGCATTTGAGAAACATTAACCTTCGCCATAAGCTGCCATACAGGAGCATCAGTGTTTCACAAAAAAATCTTGTTTTTTTTATTATTTTCAACAGATCAATATCTAATGAAGTAGAAATCACAGATTGAAGAAAACGGATCAATCAGATGAAACATTTCAAAAGAGACAATTTCAAATTCATCTTGATCATGGGGTTCTATTTATTCTTTTTTGAAATAATGTTTTACATCAAGTATAAACATTATATTTTTGAGGTGGTTTTGTGGTTGAAGTTGAAGTATTTCCTGAAGCAATAAACTTTTGTTAGTTTTCTATACTAAATGTACTTAGTAAAAGTTGTACATTGTATGTTTTGTAATAAATTGGAAATTAGAAATATTTCGTTTTTATTTACAAATTCTGCCACTTTAAGTTCCTTTGTTGATATTTAGAATGAAGATTGCTCGTATTACAGTAAAAAATATTTTATCCGACACTTCGATTGTCCGTTTCCATTTAATGTGAATTTCGACATTCAACTTCATACCTATTTCTACTAATTCCCATGTTCTTCACACAGTACAATCCGACATCGTATCTATTCCGACACAAAAGGTTTCACTGTTTTAAATATTTCTATATAACATTATTTGATATTCATGTTCTGCAGAACAACATATCCAAGATTATGTTTCTCTATCGAGATACCCCCTCCCATCTTTGGCATCCATGCAATATTCTGAAAGGATAAGCAGATATAATTAATTAATCTATTAAGCAATAATTGCTTTGGTGCATGCTCTTGTTCCATTCAAATTTTGTGGAAAAGATTGAAACTTAATATACGACGGAAATAGTATTTCTCATTCAAATTGATACAAAACACATTCTACTGTTTATATATTGATATCATTCTCTAACCAGATTTGTCTTTCCCGCTATCCTTCCACATACGCTTCTGTCAACACTTGGTATACAAGAATTTTTGAAAAATTGTAAAATGAAAAATTAGAATAGTTTAAATCATATTATTTAATAGTAAAAAGGAATCTATCGTCCTCTTAAATCATTTCCCCCTTAGTTTTATTTTTTTTTTTTTAATTCAACTAAATAGTTCTTTTAAAACCAATGATATAAATCGTTGTAAGGGATGATAGATTTAAAATAAATGATAAAATTTCATTTTTATTGATATTTACACTTAGTAATTTATTTTTATTTGAATTTTTTAAAATTCAGTTATTAATACGTGTACAAGAATCTTGTGCAACGAGCATTGACAGAGGTGTTGGGAGCGCCGACGAAGACAACTCTGGATAGAGGATGATATTGATATGGCTTAACCTTTTACATATCAGAAGAAACGTAATGGTGGCAGATTCGTGCGCCTGACAGGTATTGCCTATTTATTGTGGGTATGTTATGAGGTAAAAGATCAAATAACCACGTTTTCTAAAGGTCAGTATCACATTTTGCTAAAGTTAATCATTTTAAAAGAAAAGTAGAGTTTTTCCGCTTTGTGTGTATTAGATCCGTCATTGAAGATTTATTTGAACATCGTATTTTTTGGGGGGGGATAAAACACCAATAGATAAACATTCTTTATTACGCAGTTTCTGAATCTCAGATTTTCAAAAAAAAGAGAGAGAGAGAGAAATTAGACTATATTTTGGTATTAAGGTCAGACGATACCTTCCTCAAATATCGGTTTTGTATACCTTCGAATTATGTGGAAAATATTCAAAATTTTAATTACCTTCTGATTTCTGAACTGGTTTCTAATTGTCTTTAAAAAATGAAACACCAAAAAATGTGTTATTGGCTAATTAAGTTTTTCCAAAGGGATTTTATAGGAAAAACATCCTCTGGTATCTTGCACAAATGCCTGGTAAGGTACCTCAATTTTTTTGCGAGTAAACATGTTAAAGTAGCAATACTTCAATGACAAAATCTTAGAAAAAATTATATGTTATTGAGGAACGTATTGTCTGTCCTTGATAGTCCAAAAACGAGAACAGGTTTCAAGGAGATAATGTAAAAAAAAAATTTTGATAAAACTTATTATGTTATTGTTAGAAGAGATTTGATTGGTTAACAATCTGGGTGTATGTTCCCTACATCAATCTGAAGTCGTGTAGTTATAATGAGACGTCAGAATATACATTCTGTCTAAATGCTAGCCAAAAAAAGCACAAAGCTAAAACAAAGAAAAAAAAATTAAAAAGTAACTATTGCAATACCAACACCTCGAGATATTCTTACAAACTCAATGAAAAATATAAATTTTATTAGAAAAAAAAAATCATTACTTTTTTCCACATTTCATTCAAATTTACTCTAGCAAACATTAATCATATTGAAAACAATATTAAACCATAGTGATCGTGTGTATTTTTTGATTGAAAGTTGTACAAAAAATATTTTTCTCCTTTATATTTTTTAAAATATAATTTATTTTCGTTTTCAGATCACCTTTACCGGTTCATTAGAATCTGACATAAATAATGCATATCTTAAATCGACTAGATTGTTGTACGAATTTGTTTCCAGAGATTTCGTCATAAATCATAAATATAACACCATTTTTAATCTCACCTTAAGAATATCTGTGTTAAGATTTAGATTCTTTTAGATCCTTTCTTTATGGTCTGATAAAAGATTTTGTTTAAGTTAGATTTTTTTTCTGGAGATCGCCCTTTGATCTTTTTCTGTACCTTTTTCAAAGTATTAATTTCAAGGTAAAGAAAAATTATTTTATTTAATCGACATTTTTAATTGATTGTATTCAACATTAACATTCATGGTATTACATAAAAAAATGACATACAATGACATCCGGTTATAAAATGCACATGAGGGAAAAGACAGGGACCACAATCCTTGGTCAAAGTCAAGAGAGAGGAGACAGGGGCCACAATCCTTGGTCAAGGTCAACAGGGGTGAGACGGGTACCACAATCCTTGGTCAAGGTCAACAGAGAGGAGACAGGGACCACAGTCCTTGGTCAAGGTCAACAGAGAGGAGACAGGGACCACAGTCCTTGGTCAAGGTCAACAGAGAGGACACAGGGACCACAGTCCTTGGTCAAAATCAAGAGAGAGGAGACAGGGACCACAGTCCTTGGTCAAGGTCAACAGAGAAATTCCATCTTTACAGAGAATTCTATAGAATATTTTTTTATTTTTAGTTTTGACCTTAACCTTCTCTTGATACCAAACTACAAATTCTACTTTGACAATAAAGGGTTATCTCTCTTGTGTTATTGTGATAGCTCATGACAGCTCAAGACTTCATATATATATATATATATATATATATATATATATATATATATATATATATATATATATATATCAGACTAGTTTTCCTTAGAAGATATCTTTTATTTTCAATATCCATCACATCATGAAGATAATTACCTATGAATTTCATCTCCGATATTTCGTTGGATCATCGGATTGGATTTTTTGATGCTGCATTTTCTGTTGGCACCACTGAAGTATAAACCTCTTACATCTTCTTTATAATCACTTTCAATTTTAATCCAATTTGGCGCAAAAAAAACTTTAATGAGGAAATTTAATGGATTTTCACATAAAAGACAATGCCCCCTCCAAGAAAATTAGCTAGAAAAAGCTATAATTGGGTGATGGTCATTTAAAAATTAAATCCTCAAGACCCACTAAATAAGAAAATAATGAAACTTATGTGAAAGCTTTCAAACAGTTGATCTGCAGCTTTTGAAACAATTATCCTCAATAGGGTAGGATCAGAAAGGAGGAAATAAGGTTAATATTGCATATGCACATGTATGGAGTACATAGGGAAAACTTTCAAAAACTTTCTTTTTTTTTCGAATAAAGCTTGCAGGTCCATGTTATGATACTGCATTATTTGGCGGGTATGGGTCGTAAATTTTTTTATGATTTTCAGTTTTTTTTTATCTCGGAAAAAAAACTCATTTACTTTCAACCAATTTTGGTGTATAACATGGAACAAAACTTTGCACCTCTTGGGCCCAATGGTTAGGCAAAAACCATTAAAATTAATGCTAGTTTCTACATTCTTCTAAACAACTGGACATGAAGCAGTCGCATTCTTGTCATTATTGTTACATGCGTATAAGTAATTCGCTCTTCGCAAAAACTGTTACATCCATGGTCCATGGTTCAGGAATCTGGCTCAAGGACAAGGTTGGCCATCTATTTAAATTTTGTTATATTTTAAAATCCTTTTATTTATTCATGGAAATTTAGCAGACACACTGTCTATTTGAGTTGCAAAATTCATGGCTCCCTGGCTCATAGTTCAGACCGAAGGGTTTAGTCAAAGTTGATAATTTATCAATGGAAAATATTTTCTTTACCTAAGACATCTAGCTGAAAAACCATGTAAGTGTTTACATAACTATATTACGTTCCTCACTCTTTAACAAAATTGTACAGTTCATGCTACCATGAATCCGGCCTAAGGATGGGGCGTAGTTTGGCATACATTAAACACACTACTACATAATTAAAAATACACAATTTAAAATTTTTGCTTAAAAGAAGCTGATTATATAACTAGCATGAGGGTTTTATGCTTGACCAGAATTGTAATTTCGAAGACCCCCCCCCCCTCCCACGGCCCAGGAACCAAACTCCAGAGTGGTATTACGTGGGACAAATGTTGATATTTTGTTACATCTTTAAAATTATTTTTTTATACAAATCTTACAGACTGTTTGCATGATTTTAATTAACACTCAGCCCTTAGCTAAAGTGAAAAATGGAGATAACGAACTGAAAATTAAGCTCAAAAGGCCATTTAAAAATACAGTAGAGAACACAGACCTCTCATAATCACCAAAGGTGGGATCAGGTGCCATGGAGAAGTAAGCATCCCCTGTCGGCCGGTCAAACTCGTCGTGTACTCCTTGTCATGATCGGGCAAACGGAAAAATCCGTAGACAATTCAGTGTTTAAGGAATAGCCTAACAATTAGTATGAAAAATATCAGTCAGCATTCGACTTTTTTTATAGATTGTATTTGTTGACAAGGTCATTATATTGATCTTAGAACTTGCGAAATGATTAATTTAAACAAGACTGTTAATATTCCTGTTTCAACAACTTGTTTGTCAATAGCGTGCATTGTTTTAGAAATTGTTCGTACGTGGAGCATGCTTTTGTGTATCGAATCAACTGGTAGATATCAACTCCATATACAGGTGATAAGAGTATATTACTACAAAAGAAAGGAACGTTTATGAATATAAAAGTTGACGTCATACTCTGTGGTATCTTTTATTTCAAGTTCACTGGGATATATCGAGTCAGCATATGAATGGAAGTATCTAATGATAATTGATAATACGTCGTCGATATATCTTATTTTGAGAGCAAATGTCTCCTT